GCATCTTTGATCTCATTTCAATTAAGGCCGGCTCCAGATGTGTGGACCGCATCATCACCCTTGCTTCGATTTTCTGCCTAATTGGCCTTAGGAGCATTTGAACATATGGGGAGATGGATTTCTCCTACAATATTTATAAAATCGCTTTGTTTTTTAGGATTACCGCCAAAAGGAGGTAGGAAGCGGATGACGTCCGGGATTCTAAGGGACGAAACTAAGTTCAAATGGTTTGCTGTTATAGCACCTTGGTTGCGTGGAGCGGAACTTGAAGTCGACGTCACTGACGCTGTTGAGTGTATTCTTGTTACAGTTAGTAGTTGTTTGTCTGGATCTTCTCCAATGTCCGATTAACCAATGCTAATCCTGATCCTACTACTGGTGCTTGGGATAATGCCCACCATATTGCAGTGTATACAATATGTAAAGTGGTCATATGCCCAATCTCAAAGTTAGAGTATCAAGCGCATTGTTTACATAATACAAATACCGCCAAGTGCTATAATATGATCAGCCACTTATATGTGGACTGGCCTGCAGCGGGAGATCTGCAGCGTAAGCACTATGACGTTTTGACCGTTCGCTCCCAAGCGCATTTCAATGTATATGCCTTCTGCATGTACATATAACAAGAGATATATACAAATACATATGGCATGCTATATACTCCAGTTCTGTCGCTCAAAGCTCTATTATGTTCTTTAGGCTACGTCCATTTTAAATAAAGAGAGACGAATTCATTCTGAAAACTAAAGTCAAACGGCACAGACGTGCCAGTGTATTCAATTAAATTGTATATCGGTAACGACATTACATGGCAACCGTGACAATGGTCTCACTAACCTGCAGTGAATTAAATTTGAAGTGAATACCATACCAAAAACTATTGGAAAGGCAGTCAAGAGGGCTGACAATAAACAACAACAAACATCAACAAAAACAACAGCAACAGCAAATGACATTTACTACAATTGGCAACAAATAAAAAGACAGCAGCGATGGAGGGAAAGCTGTGGACGATAAATAAATATCTGAGCGAGTAGAGTGCGGATGAATAAAACAAAGAAACAGAAAAAGCGCGGCGGGGTCAAACAAAGTCTGACGTCTGAAATTGACCGTCTCAGCCAAGACTTGAACGATCAAGATCACCCGCAAGCATAGAACGATTCTATTTCCATGCATGAAAAGCGGTCGTTTCGTGAAGTACAACTAGTGCAATTAATAAACAAAATGCATCCGTCTCCTTTCTGAGTTTGATGGATTATTTAAGTGCCTCAATAAAAGTGCACTAACATCAAACCGAACAAAAATAAAACATGTTCAAGTTCTAGTAGAATCATACAACAAAGTCTTTGACATTGTAAATAACAATGAATGTAGGTTAAGCGATTTACATTTAACACAATCAATTGACGTGCTTAAAAGGCTGCGTGAAAATATTAGACATATTTCGGAAAGACACAATTTTCAAATAATTGTTCCGAATGCGCTAAATACACCAGTAGCATTCGAAATCACTGATTTAATGGAATCAGTAGAGGGAGAACTTGGACAAAAGAAAGACATATCGAAATAGTCCACATGGCCAAACACCAGTAGATTTTCTTAAGTTAGCCTCATCGCTCTTAGCAGAGTTTGATGGCAAGGCAGAAAATTTCAAAAGGTTTATAGATGCTTTGAATCTGGTAGATTCTCTAAAAGAAACACACGAAGCACTTGCTGTAAGTCTTATTAAGACAAAATTATAAGGACATGACAGGATAAGTGAAGAGAACACTATAGCAGCTTTCATATCGAAAATATCAGACAAAGTAAAAGGATAGTCAGTAGAAGTTATTTCTGCTAAACTTCTAAACTTACAACAAAATGTAAGGCAGGCAGGCAGGTACATTCAGTAACATGAATGTACCATTTCAAAGTTTGTTAACAATTGAACAGAAGCAACTGGTCAAACAAACACTGTTTTACACTACCGACAACGACAAAATTACTATAATAATAGTCGTGGTCGTTGTCGTGTCGGTAATAAACGCGGTAGAGGTTATTACCAAAGTTACAATAACAGAGGCCAATATAATAATAATAACCGAGGAGGTTATAGATCTTACGGTCAAAATAGGCCGAACCAACCGAAATCAAAATAAATATAATAATGTGAGAGTAGCACAAAACAGTTCGGAAAACTCTCAAAACCCTTTAAGTACCACACAATAATCAATAAAACATACTCAATAAATTTTAATCTCAATATCTTTGTAAAATTTTGTAACAATGTTACAAAAACAATTCTAACATTTTTAATCGACATTGGTGCAGACATATCAATTCTTAAGATTAATTCTGATCACATCGATACAATTTCTGAAGATAAAACTATAAACATTCAAGGAATAGGACAAGGGTCTGATGTTAATTAACGAAATTTTGTGTTGTTAAAAGAAATTAAGTTATTTAACTTAATTCGACTTAACGACACATATATATAGTTGTGTGTGTAATGTGGTAAGTGTATATTGTAAAGCTTATTTATATAAATGTGTGTGTGTGGAGTATTGTAGCTGTGAACGCTTCTTTTCCTTGGTGTTGTGTAATTGTGTATTAATATCTGTAATTATTTGTGATAGTATTAATTTTTTTATAAATTTTGTAACAATATTTATAAGTTCTGTTTCGGCTGTTGTACAATATTTAATAGCATCGTTTGAATTTGAAAAATAGAAAATGTGCATATGTATTTGGGTTATTTCTTTATTTGCCTTATTAATTTATTTCATTTTTTGGAGAAAATTTGTTTTTTTTTTTTTATTTAGTTGCCCAAATAATATTGGTAGTACTGATTGTGTGGCGTAGCTATGCGCTTAACCGTACGCTTCAGTGACCTATTCGAAACAGTCTAAGTTGCGTGCACTGTGTCGATGCATATGATCGACATGCCTCAGTTACCTATTTAACATGAACTTCTCCGCGTCCAGCGTTTCGATGTAGCTCGCACCTGTCATTTATTTCAATTATTTATATTCATTTTCTTTTTTTTCTGTTATTTGTTTTTTATACCCTTGCAGAGGGTATTATACTTTTGTCGTGAAATGTGTAACGCATTGAAGGAGACATCTCCGACCCCATACAGTATATATATTCTATAACCATGTCCGTCTGTCTGCTGCTATGCCAACTAGCCTCTCAGTTTTAAAGCCATCTTAATGAATCTTTGCAGAAGTCCCTTTTTCTGTTGCACGCAGGACATATGTCAAATCCAACGGGATCGGACCACTATATCATATAACCGCCATAGGAACGATTGATCGAAAATTTAATTGTTGTATGAAAAAACATTTTGTTTTTCAAGATATATTGACCAAACTCGACATTTATTAGTTTAACTTTACTCCTCATATACATGCAAATCCTATTCAGATCGGACCACTATATCATATAGATGCTCTAGGAACGATCGGTAGAAAATTTAATTGTTTGAAAAAACAATTTGAGTATTACCGAACGCTTCAGCGACCTGTTCGGACCACTATATATATATGATAATTTATATATATATATGTTGATTTCATGTAAAAGAAATTTGATTTTAATGAACGCTGCAACGTTTTCTTTGAATGTTTCAAACTGAACTGAAAATCTTTTTATTGTTCGAGCATCATAAGGCTAAATGTATACAATGATTTTCTAAAAAGCTAGCAACATGTATCTGCCGTCTGCCGAACGAGAACTGTCGCAACCAACATCCTGTTAAAGTGCTGGATCATCATTGCAACATATCGTTACAATGCTATGCTGCCGGCGGCTTGGGGGCTGAAACCGATTCATATATACCCTGTATGGTATATTCGGCGCACAACAAAGCGACGTTTGTTTAATGTGGTGCATAAGACGTTTTTGAAAAGTTAGTTTTTTTTTAAATTGTTATTTGTTTTTTATTTTCCATGTAAAGCTGATTGTCACTTGTTCATTATGAACTACACACAAACGACGGCGAATGACAACGTCCTGTCACGGTCGCCATGTAAGCTCGTATGGTTCTTGTATTTAAAACAGTGTGGTGATGTAGCGTCTGCTCCATTTGACTTATGTCTTTGTTCTGAATTCTTATTTACACATGTTATGAGCTTAAGCTAAATATATATTATGTTCTTATTCTATGTAGTCGGTATATGTGTTTATGCAGAAGGCATAAACATAATATATACGTATAGCGCAACCATTGTCGCTGTCAAGATGCATGCTCAGCGTTTCTCATACGCCTGCATCGGTATGCTGTTCGAGTTACAAGAGCGCTGAAGTGCTAATATGTTTATGTGTGGTTAGCTTTATATATATTTATTAATGCATATTGCGAGTATACATACTGCAATAGCACATATAATTTTTAGCTGCTTTCACATATAAGCCCTTCTAAATATTAATTATGCAAACCAATAAAAATTTCTAACTAAAACCCTTAGAGGCCCGAAAATAAATTCTTGGTAACATTAATAATTTTGGCGAGGGACCAAGTATTCGCACAATCGTTATTCCCACCTAATTGCCAAAGCAGCTTAAATTCAGGATGTGAGAATATTCCCAAATAAAGACGAACAATGGAAACATTTTCCAAATTGAGAAAGCTTCTTATCTTAAAAGTCCACCTCAGCGTCGACCTCAGTTTTCGAGATTGAGTTTTACTGACGCGCTTGAACTACCAAGTCAGATATAATCTGTTTTAAGTCCTCCGTTAAGTTATGTCTTTCGGGTGAAATTTCACACTTTTATAGGAAAGAATTCCACCTTTGGTTATATGAAAGTTTTTTGTTTTCTGTCCGTTTCAAGATAATTTTTGAGGATTTGAGACTTTATTTTATTCGAGTCAAGGGCTAGGCCGGGGACGATCCGCTGGTTTTATAAAAGAACCATATCAAAACTAATTGCAAGTTAATGCATGTTCTAGAATCTAGGATGCCTCTGCTATTAATGTCAAGCAATAAGATGGGATGCTGAAATATACAATATAATATATATACAATCGACATATTTACAATTTATTTTGACGAGCAAGTATATTTTTGAAACCCATAAAATTATTGAAATGCCGCCGAAAAAGGGAAAGAAATTGAAAAAGGTTAAGCAATGGGAAAAGAAATCAGAATTAATATTCGAGGAAGGGACAGATGAAACTGATGTTCTAGAACTTAACTTATATACGGATATAAATGATAACTTCTTTAACGAGGCCAGCCGGGTAAGCATTTATATTTTGATGTTATGAATCTGTATTTTAATTAAATGTTTTTATTACCACATTGTGTTTTAAAGATTGTTCAGTTCTTAATGGAGGCTGAGCGGTTTTTCGAGGCATCCCGTATTAAGCGGTATGCTGATATAATATTTAATTTACACCGTCGTTATGTGGAGGAAGTAAATGACAATGAAGTGCTGCGTCCTCAAATAATTTCTACCGAAAACAAATTGCGTCTGGCACTTGATTTGACCGCAACATCTGAAGAGGCTTTACAAAAACTAAGGGATACCCTTGGCGACGCCTGGAAAGAGTCTGACGCTGCCGCACTTCGAGAACAGTTGGTGCAAGAGAAACTTCAAGAAGTTTTAATAAAATGTGAAGGGCTCGGCGATCGAGACACTGGCAAAACGGATGACGCAGCAGAGTAAGTATAAAACAAGAAAGTTTTCCTTCGGCATACCCTTGTACAGATAAGTTGTTTTTTTAGCTTTGTTTCTTATATATTGAATCCAACACTAGAAAAGAGTTGTTTCGGAAAAGAAAATAGCTATTAAATCGAGCTACACTAATGATCCAATTCAACACGTGAACTTAAAGTGGAGAGTGTACCAATCGTTAGGTTTTATTATTTGACACTTTGAGGAGTGCAAGATCGATTTCCGTCTAATTGCGTGCAAGAATAAATAAACCAATCCTAACGAAGGAGGGGAGAACTACATGATGATTCACACCGTCATTATAAGATGCATTATTTAAGTGCACATCTTAGATTATATAGTATACAAGAGTCGAGATATCCAAGTTGGTTTATTTCGTGAATGCTGTAAAGGTGAGGATAGGAAATTTGTCTCGGTAGTCTGTAAGCTACCTATATTCTTAATAAGCTGTAGTATTTTAATCTAAGACTGTTTGAAAGCTGCTATATTTCAAGCTAAATAAAATGTTTTGTAAATTGCAAGTTGGCTTGACAGAACTATGCTTAACATAAATACAGAAAGCGAAAGTGTGCTTACTTTATATGTACGAGTGGCCGGTTATATATTTGATCGAAGGGGTGACATTTGAGTATTTCTGATTTTAACAGTTGCAATATGTACACGACATTCATGTAAATACCTTTACAGATTATTTGTTGTGTACCCTTGCAGATGCTATCATATTTGTCGTGAAATATGTGTGCTCCTCATATACAGTTGCCATAGGATAGATTGTTCGAAAATTAATTTTTATATGTATTTTTGTTTATCAAGATATCTTTTAGTGTGTACTGTGGTGAAGTTAGTCTAGCAATACAGTTTTGGACCTACGACGACGGCGGTGTTTAGCCAATCCACTAAATAATTTGAGAAGTATTCACGGAGACTCCTGCGAGTTGAGTTAGCACGGCAGATCGGAATCCTCTAGTTCCCTAGCTCTTTCGGATGGGGAGGGGTTCTTTTTGCGATGTCTCGACCCGCATATACAATTTTATTTTAGGTTCCCTTCAGAACCTAAATTTAGGTGCTATACTCCGAGGAAACAAAAATCTGAAACAGGCACAGGCACAACTAACCAAAACAATGTTTCATCAGCGGCATGTATATTCCGTAAACACGTGGCCTAAGATGTAAGCTGTCATGATCTTCAGTGTTGAAAAAATAGCTTAGCAATCCATTTTCAAAAACATTATTTAATGAGTTTTTATCCTTCATTTTTTTTTTTTTGGCGTGCCCAATAAATGCACATTGAGAACTTTTGGAAGTCAGTCAAGTTAATATAGTCGTAGCTCTATTTTATGCTACTTATCTAAACCTTATTTCGTATTAAGTATTTGTCTATAATAAATACAAGGCCTAAGATATATTTAAAATACATGAGCCTCCTTGGTGACCTACAAGTTCATATTAACAGTATTAAAAAGGAGAGGAAGCCAAGTGATTTTTTTTTTTTTTAATTTATCTTTATTCAGGGCAAGCTATGCAACGCGTTGTGAACTGAGGCACACTTTGCATAGAAAGTCGCCGTAAGAGTTCACCATCATCCAAGATTGAACCAAGTTACAATTAAAACAATTAAATACAGTAGTGAATGAGTTTAAACGTAGAACATATTCGTAAATGTTGTGATGTCATATGAGTAAATTTATATAAAGAGAGAGAGCAATGTAAAGTGTCAGTGAGACAGCATCAGACCCTCAGTAACAGCGTAGTTCCAAGAAAAATAATTATGGTGAGATCTGGTCCTTGTGTGTATGCATTGTTTAAAGCGACGCAGACAGAAGGAAAGAGAAGATAGGATCAGAGTTGGCGTATTGCGGTTAAGCAAGTGGATGAAAGCAGCTGGTCATCTATCAGGGCCAGTTGGCCAAGGCATGAAATTGACAGCAGCTATTTCTTGTTTCGCAAGCATGATGATCGTTAATGGTTAGGCAGTCAGATGAGCCAGTGCAAATAATGTTTCGAATAAGTGTTTAACGTTTCAATCGTGCGGTGAGCTACAGCTACATGCAGAAGTAAATTATTTATTTTTGCGCCGAAATTAGAGAGTGGTGTGTTTTACGTAAAAATCATATATTACAATTAGCCGTAAAATTCTATAAAGAAGAGGTCGTCCTTCGGCATTGTTGGACTTAAACTACAAAAGCGAGCAAACGCTGCGCCTTTGATAGTCTACTCTATTGCTTACTCTACGAGATGTTGAGAGTTGCGTGTATAAATTTAATATAAATTTAATTCGAGTAATATTGAACAGAGGCTTAATAATTTAGGATACAGATTTATAACTGTACATTCGATTTGTAGCGATTTATAGTTATTTGCCAAAAAGTTGCTTGAGGTTGCTGCTAAATCTTACATATGTAGCTAGTGGGGTATTATTAACTAGGCAGTGCTAAAAAACGAATTGAAAAATAAATTTGAGGGAATAATATCATCAGCAGAAGCTCAAAGACGTTTGGTAGAACGCCCATAGACGTTTGGGAGAACGGCAGCAGATGTGAGTTGATGGAAATAAAAAAAAAAAGTAAAATTGCAAAAAATATTTAATAGAAGGTATACCAAATTCTAAAGAAAACAAGTCGCTGTTGGTTCTTGGTCATCAAGTCCAGTCCAGTAAATCTGGATCGACAGTTGTTATGAAAGGTTCTGCTGTAGAAAGTTAACCAGATATTTTAACGGGTAGATGATAGCCACATTCTGACTCGGAGGCTTTATTATACTCGTCAAGACTGATAATTATTCAAATGAAAGTCGAGTTTCATTTACTAGATGGGGACATAAGTATTGAAGCAATTCTTTACTGAACCATTTTAAATTAGGGTAACTTGCAAGTGACCAAAAGGGGGACGGCATAATCCTTGTGTAGAAAATAAAATCTACTTTCGAACTATTTAAGGAGCTTAAACTTGCTCGTTAACTTTGGAACATACTATCGATTTTGGAATAAGTTGCAGCAAAAATATATTGGGCAACTGGTACATGCTTATAAATCAATTAGAAATCCTACAATACTCAATTGAGTACATCAGAGATGTAAAGTTTTCAGAGTTGTATAGCTCAGGTAACCCGTTTCCATCTGCAAGGGAGGGCCGTAGGGATCGCTCCGCAGTGGTGTAGATTAGATCAAGTTGGGCTGTTTTACTGGAAGGGATAAATAAACAGGAAAATTTGATGAAGGGTGCGATAGTAGTCCCAGTAGAGCCCGTACCTGCTCTCATCCCAGATATCCAAACTGCCTCAGCTCCGTCAGCTCCTGACCGCAATGGTAGACCTGCGCGTCATCTTGCCCAAAATTGTTAAAAACAATCATGGCTCCTCTTTAGCACCTCGAAACTCCTGTATTTCCTGCAGCCCCATCAGCGCCTACTTTGACGGTTGTTGCCCCTCGTAGGCAAGTTTTTGTATCTCGACTTTCGTCGGACACCACTTCTGAGTCATTGGCAGCCTATATTGCTAGCAAATCTTCTGCTAGCGTGTCAATAACGAAGTTTAATTTCTCCACCCCTCGTGAAATAACATCATTCAAAATAAATGTTTCACATGATATGTTCCCAATCATTTGTGATCCCAAATTTTGACTTCCACACATGATTGTTCACGAGTTCAAGCCTAAAAATCGTAACCGGCCTGACACCCTTCCAGTCCCTTCAATACAGGGTACTATTATGCCTTAGCCTTAGCTTAGCATTTTCAGAAACACGGTTAAATTCAACCACATCTGACTGAGGTTTAATCGAATAATTTTGTTTTGCATAGAAATGATCGGCCGACTCGAGGTGGGGTGTTAATTGCCGTTAAAGCCACTCTCCAGTCTGAACTCTTCTGTTTTAGTACGATTACTGACGCTGAGATTGTCTCAGTTAAGGTGTCTTTCCTACACAGAATATCTATATTACATGCGCCTATGTCCCTCCTTCTTCTGATATTCAAGTTTATATGAAACATACTACTTCGATTTTCCTATTCCTATTTATGGTGTTGGGTGATTTTAATTTACCGAACATCTTAGTCATTATTCACTGTCGAAAATTATCTAGTGCCCTCACAAATGCATGATTTTATAGACTGCATGCTTGATCTTGCGTTGTTTCAAATCAATTCAATTTCTAATAGAACACTTGACCTTGTATTTATAAACGATTACCTTATTTCTAATGTGTCTAGGTCATCCCCGTTATCTCTTCCTGAGGATGTATATTATCCTACTCTAGATATTGCAATGCTCAATTGTAATCGTTTTCTTTTTATATGACTCGGTTAATATAAATACTGATATTAAATTTTTTTTATATCACCCTAAACTCCCTCTTAGATGTGTGTATTTCCAAGTCAATTCCTCCAACTACTTTTTCAAAACCACCTTGGTTTACTCCCAGATTATCACATCTAAAAAATAAAAACCTCGATATTTTACTTTTTAAACTTGACCGAATAGGTTTCCCTCCATTTCTTTTGCTTTGGATTAATTCTTATTTAAAAGATAGGACCCAAAGAGTAATGCTGAGGCTGACTACCTCTAAACAAGTTCACGTTACTTCTGGTGTTCCTCAAGGTAGTCATATTGGACCTTAACTCTACTCTTTTTATAAATGATCTCCACTTTGTTATATCATATGCTCGTGTACTCATGTATGCGTACGATGTGAAACTTTTTCCATCATACACTAATTTCCCACATCATTCTCGTCTACAAGGCGATTTAAACGCTATGCAGCTTTGGTGTTCGGCCATTCAATTGCATCTGAATTGTATCTTTTGACTCTTAATCGTACAACACCTTATCTCCCATCGTTATACAATCAAAAATATTCCTTAGCAACGTATACTAGCAGTTAAGGATCAAGGCGTTATTTTTGATTCTAAAGTTTCCGCAGTGTAACATAAGCCAGGATCGCATTGAATCTGTTCAAAAGCAATTTCTGCCATCCTACTCCAGCAGGCTTCTTCTTCTTAACCTTCCGTCGTTAACCAACCATAGAACAATTTTCGGTGTTGTCCTTCAACATAAGTGGATTAGGGCGTCTTCAATTCTCTGTTCCGGCTAGACAAACCAGAAATTATCGCCCCTTATTCCTATCTACGTACACAACAGACTACGCTATGCACAAATCTACTGACAAAATTAGCTGTGAAAAGGGGCACAGCTGGCCGGACTGGCAATAAAAACACCTCCATCGGTCGGTGATGCTATTTAGAAAATTTAGTTCTTTCACTAGGCTTTTAGCATTTAATTACATTATCTATTGTATAATTATTGAATAATGGGGAAGACACTAGTTTTGTCGACCATTAATAAATAAATAAAATAAAATAAAACGAGAACGGCACGCAGAAGATCTAATACCCTTGCAGACCCAACCTTTTGATAATACTTATAGTGCTTTGCCCGTATCTAAGAAGCACAGGAAAAATAGTTAATGTCGAGTTTGGGCAAGATATCTTGATAAACAAAAAAGATTTTTAATCAAAAACCTCCTATGGTAGATATACGATATAGTAGTCCGAGTTAAACAAGATTTTG